AGCAATCCACCCTCCTCGGCCTCCCAGAGTGCTAGGATTACAGGCGCAAGCCACTGCACCCAGCCTTGGTTTGAGTTTTTAAAGGATTTCTCTTTTTTTCTTCTTAGCTTACTACAGTGCAGAGATTACTTTCTGAAAAGGCCACCGATGTGAACATTAGGGATGAAGATGAGTATACCCCTCTTCATCGAGCAGCCTACAGTGGACACTTAGATATTGTCCGTGAGCTGATTGCACAAGGAGCAGATGTTCACGCAGTGACTGTGGATGGCTGGACGCCCCTGCACAGTGCTTGTAAGTGGAATAACACCAGAGTTGCTTCTTTCTTACTTCAGCATGACGCAGACATCAATGCCCAAACAAAAGGCCTCTTGACCCCCTTGCATCTTGCTGCTGGGAACAGAGACAGCAAAGATACCCTAGAACTCCTCCTGATGAACCGTTACATCAAACCAGGTCTGAAAAACAACCTGGAAGAAACTGCATTTGATATCGCCAGGAGGACAAGTATCTATCACTACCTCTTTGAAATTGTGGAAGGCTGTACAAATTCTTCACCTCAGTCTTAACGGTTCTAGTATTTTTCTTAAGTTTCTAAGTGTCAGTGCCTCTTGTGTGAGACATAAAATATTCCCATAATGCAAAGTTATCATCAAATGTCTTCAGAAACTCAGTGGCACTATTTATAATGCTATTCCAAGTGAATCGCCTGATCTTGATGTCAAAATGTATTTGAAAGTTGTTGAGATATATCTTTAATAATTTCTGTGGAGTTTGTGATTTTTTATCAGAAATAATTTTAACCTGCCTATACTTAGAAACGTGACTTGGGTTGTATAGAAACTAATGATATTTTTGGTGCTGATCTAAGAGAAATGTATTTTTAAATGTCCCACGTCCTGGATGTTTGTTGAGTATTTAGTATATTGACATATATTTTTATAAGGTGAGATAACTCAGAATTTAATTTTAAGGTTTTAAATATTCTGGTGCAGTTCAGCTGTGTTCTCTATATTACCATAGCCAGTTGTTTTCATTTTAAATCAGAAGAACTAACATATTAGTGACTTGAATCTTAATAAGTTAAAGAAAAAAACACCAAAAACCCAGATCTTTGTCCTCTAGAAAACACAGACCGTTTTCAGGAAGCAGTTAGCTAGGTGTTTAATCCATGAATGTTGTATACTGCCTCCCCTTACCACAATTCACATGATCCTGTGGACAGTCCTACCTCACGCTGTTCAGCCTACATGATCCTTATTCTAATGGTGAATCAATATGACCTTTTAGACATGCACACAACTGTACCTTGGTCCAAGAGATCATAATATATCTGCTATCCAACTGGCTTTACCTGCCTAATCTTGCTGGTTTGGGTATTGCTCATATAAACTCTTGAGTTCATAGGAAATAGTGATTTTCCAAGATCTTCATTTTATATAGACTATACAAAGTGACCAGGGCAAAGGAATTCTAAGAGTGGGGATGATTATTATATTGGGGCTAAAATCACAAAGTGTCTCAGGCTTTAAAATAAAAACTGTGGATAGTGACAAAAAGCATAAATATAAATATTCAAGAAAAATAAAGTGTAAGGTTTGAACAACAAAAAAGCATGAATTACCTTTTTTTTAACCTGTTTATCTCTTTCTTGAATCCAGAACATAATTATTAATCCAACATGCATATATTTGTTTAATACCTACTCTCTCAGTCTCTCTAGCAGCAATTTCCCATTGACCATCTAGCACCCTGTAACTAATCCGGAAGAGTTTTCTCCCAATTTCTTAACACCAGAACTAACACCCCCTAGGGGAAGGGAACTAAACCAATTGCCCTTTTCTTCAGCTATCCATTTTAAATGTCCACCAAGCCTTATCTCTTTTAAGCTAGCCCATGTGACTCAATCACCCTAGACTAAGTAATAATGTTATTTAATGAAATATATGTAGTTAGAACAAATTAGATCATCTCAAAAAAGTTAAAGATAAGATATGAACTGAATCATTGCAACAAACAGGATCCCAAGAGTTAAGAGAGCTTCAGTTATTTTGTAGTCTCTGGCGAGGAGATGATTCAGTTTCACAGTATTAGTATCTCTGACAGGGGTTGTGGTAGAAAGTGAGAGATTGCTTTCTGTGTAATCCACGAATCTAAATTAGTGACACTAAAGGACAGGTGCAACTGACTGACAGTGGTAGATTAGGACGCCATTTGTCCAAGTAGCCAGCTGAGCAAGGCTGTCTCTTCTGAAAGTCACAGAGCCCCTGGCTGCTTTTCCACTTGAGATTGGGTTGCATCCATGATTCTAAGTAAACTTTCCATTTAAGTGTGGACCTAAAAAGCCTTTTTATTTATGATAAGGACCTGAGTTGTAACCACTCCCTTGTTTTCAGGCCTTAACTCACCAGTGCTGGACAGCAAACTCTAGATAGAAAAGAAGTCCCATCCCTGAGGGCAGAATTTGTATTGTTTGCTTCCTTTATATTTCCCTTAGTATTTATCAGACAGCTTTGTCCACACAAGGCATTCACTAATCATTCTTTTGACAGCATCACTTACCTGTACTTTCCAGTTTAAGCAGGCTAAGTAGCCAAGTTTGCAAACAGTTTTCTTGAATCTTGGATATTTATACAAAGGCTTTTTAAAAAATAAAATCTGGGCCAGACACAGTGGCTGACACCTATAATCCCAGCACTTTGGAAAGCTGAAACAGGAGAATTGCTTGAGACCAAAAGTTTGACACCAGCCTGGGCAACATAGTGAGACCCGGTCTCTACACACACAAAAAATAGCCAGGCATGGTGAAGTGCACCTGAAGTCCCAGCTACTAGGGAGGCTGAGGCAGGAGGATCACTTGAGCCCAAGAGTTCCAGGTGACAGTGAGCTGTGATGCACCACTACACACCAACCTGGCCGACAGAGTAAGATGCTGTCACTAAAAAAATAAAAATAAAAACTAAGTTTTTCCTAACTAAGGGCTTAGTTTTGATAAATGCTTGAGGAAAAGGTGACTTTTGTCATTGTTTAAGAGACACATACTTCTTAGGCCCACAGTGAAACTAGTTGGCTTTGCTTTTATGAATCTTAAATAAATATGCTTTTCCAGGGAGCCTTCTGGCCCACAGCTTTCCACAGTGATGAGATTTAGAGTCTTTATTCTACAATATGAAGACATTCATTTATTTCTATTCTTTGACATCTATTGTGGTATCCATCACTATTCTAGAAGATCATGATCAAAAGAAGCCCAGAGACTACTCTGAGACACTTCTCATACCAAAGTGAAATCCCTGGATCAACTCTCAATTCATGATCAACACATATACCATCTTCACCTTACCTGCAGTGGCTCTAGGAATCTATGCAGCTGCCTACAAAATAAGATCATCAAATCATTGATTATGCCTCTTCCATAGCTGGTTTATCATAGGATGCTCCAGTCCTTCTGTAGGATTACTATTAATAGATAACCATTCAACTTGTTCAATATGAAGTGCTTTCTCTAAATTTAGGATCTATGTTTATTAAATTCAGAAGACAGTAAACTAATAAAGATTGAGTATAGCTGATTGATATTTAAAATTCCTGGAAATTTCCCTTTGAAACCCTAAAACTTCACTTCTGGGGACCTCAATGGGAACATTCTAAACCAGAGCTGTCAAAGAATCATAATGTGAGCTACATATGTAATTTTAATTCTTTTCTAATAGCCATATTAAAACAAAAATGGATAAAATTAATATATATTAGTCTAAACATCCAAAATAGATTTCAGCATGAGATATACATTAAAAATTATTGAGATATTATACCTTCTATTTTTGTAGTAAATCTTCAAAATATAGTGTGTATTTTATAACACATCTCAGTTCAGACTAACCACATTTCAAGTTCTCAATAGCCACATTTGACTAGTGGATACTCCATCAAACAGTGTAGGTCTAAATGCCTGATCATTCCCTGGAGATGTAGAAGGATGGTTATGAGGATCGTTAAACTTTAAGTCAGACAAATCTGGGTTCAACTCTTGAGTGCCACATAAGTATGACTTTGGGCAAATGAATAGCTTCAGTTTTCTCATATGTAAAATGGGCATAAAATCTATCTTGTAGTGTTGTAGGAATAAATGACATAACATAGGTAAAGAACCTATTACATGAAGGTACTTTAAAAATGGTATTGAGTGGTTCTGTTCCCCAGCATTTCAAGCAGAAATGCCCATCCTGCTTTAGGTATTTGGATCCTTAAAGATCCCATATGTAGTTTTTGTTTGTTTGTTTGTTTGTTTTTTGAGACAGAGTATTGCTCTGTTGCCCAGGCTAGACTGCCATGGCATCAGCCTAGCTCACAGCAACCTCAAACTCTTGGGCTCAAGCAATCCTTCTGCCTCAGTCTCCCGAATAGCTGGAACTATAGGCATGTGCCACCATGCCTGGCTACAATAAATAAATAAATTAATTATATATATATTATTTGTCCAGCTAATTTCTTTCTATTTTTTAGTAGAGATGGGGGTCTCACTCTTACTCAGGCTGGTCTGGAACTCCTGAGCTCAAACAATCCACCTGCCTCAGCCTCCCAGAGTGCTAGGATTATAGGCATGAGCCACCATGCCCAGCCGGCCATATATAGTTTTCCCTTTATATTCCTATAGTGTCTCATGACCTTCCAGTAAAATATGCAGTATAGAGCTTCTTTCAAGAATCTGAGCAGCTCCACTACTAGAAAAGGCCTACCCCATTTCCAAAGGTTCCTGCCATGAATCAAAGGTCTTGCTCCAACAGAAGAAAAACTCAAGGAATAAATAAAGCAAAAGAATTGCAGCAAATATTAATAATTACAAGTACTAGAAGGAAATGAGATTCAGAGAGAAAATGTATTTCCAGAGTGGATCCAGGGCCTTGAAATTAAGAATGGCTTATTGCTCATGTTCTGTGCAGTCTCTCAATGCCCGGTTTTTGTTAATGCTGAACAAAAGGAATAAAAACACAAAAACATTCATTTTTGGTTCATCACTTTAATTCAAAACTCAAGTACATCTAATAGTCTTCACTATGAATTTAATGACATGGCCATATCTTCCAGTGGATCTCACGGTAGCAGAATTTGTAGGCCAGAAAATCAGCTTAATGAAAGAAATAGTTTATAAAATCTAAACACAAGCTGCTCCACAATTTTTCTTCCTTCCCTTGTCATTACAATATGTTCAGCATTTCATCTCTACTAGATGTACAGTACCTGACAATTAGGAAAACATCATCAGAGAAAATAATGTGAGTTCAGAAAGGGCACTGTCTCCTGTGTGGTCACTAGAGTTCTGTTTTCAGATACAGCTGCCTTAAACAGGCAATTTTTAGCAATCAAAAGAGAGAGAGGCCAGAAAGTGAGCCTGCCATCATTAAAAAAAAAAAAAAAAAATCAGATGTCTATTAGGTTTTTCCAAACTGCAATTTAATAACTCATGAAGAAAATGTATACTGACTGCAAGGACCAACTCTAGGTGTAAGACATAGCTCTGCTGTGAGAGTCATATGAAGATCTGATACAACAGTGAGATGCTTCAGTGTATGTACGAGAAAAAATGCACTAGAATTTATATTATAATAGCTTTCATGTGCTTTTGTATTATTTCCTATTTGATGATATGCAAACCTCATAAGGAGAATCAAATACAAGAAAAAGATATTAGGCTCCTTTCATCCTTTCTTTTGATTTAAGTCTGTACCTTTGGACAACAGGTGGTTTTGGAGTCCATCTAGAAAGGTAACTACGTCAGGGTTTCTCAACCTCCACACTATTGACATTTGGAGTCAAATAATTGTTGTGGGGGGCATCCTGTGCATTGCAGGATGTTAGCAGCATTCCTTGCCTCCACTTACTATCAGTGGCACCTCCCACCCTCCCACCTCCAGTTACAACAACCAAAAATATCTCCAGACATTGACAAATGGCCCCTGACGTATGTCTTCAAAAATCTAAGGCAGGAGATTTCAGAAACCTAGCCAGCCTTCCATAGTTGTTTTTATTAGCATGCAAGTAAATTTTATGTAAAGCAAGTTTCCCTTAGATTTTGTTAGGTATTTCAAATATTTATTAGTGTACATCCAAAAATTAGATAATCATTGATTCTACTTTAGATTTTTAGTATTTTATTAATGAAATCACTTAAACACATTTAAAAACATTGGGCTAAAACATACACTCAGAAAAGGACTCTCCAATACTGGGTGTTGTTTTTAAGAAAAATTTACTCCCTACTCCCAGTTTGGGCCTCTAGGAAATTTACCCTTTAGGTCAGATCAGCTTATTTATAGAGAAATTCAATTTCTATGAATGTGAGATGATAGTTACGTTCTCATTTTTAATGGTTGGACCATTACAAATGTAATTATTTTATTGCATTGCTGAATAAAATGGCAATTAAGTTAACACACACGTTTTGCTTCTAGATAAAAAAAAAAAAAAAGATAAGAGAAACTAACAAACTCTGTCAGAACAGTTCCAAGTATTAACTGGAGAAATAGAAGACAATGTCTTAGACTGGGCGCGGTGGCTCACGTCTGTAATCCTAGCACTCTGGGAAACCGAGGTGGGTGGATCTCTCGAGGTCAGGAGCTCAAAACCAGCCTGAGCAAGAGTGAGACCCCGTCTCTAATAAAAATAGAAAGAAATTAATTTCCCAACTAAAAAAAAAAAAATATATATATATATATATAAAAGATTAGCCAGGCATGGTGGTGCATGCCTGTAGTCCGAGCTACTCGGGAGGCTAAGGCAAGAGGATAGCTTGAGCCCAGCAGTTTGAGGTTGCTATGAGCTAAGCTGATGCCATGGCACTTTATCCCGGGCAACTGAGTGAGACTCTGTCTCAAAAAAAAAAAAAAAAAAAAAAAGAAGACAAGGTCTTAATGTTGTTACTAAAATTATTTTAATTTATTATTTAAATAAAAAAATCATCTGGTATAATTTATTTTGGCAATTACTTTTACTTTAAAAGTTAATTCTAAGATGAAATACATCAAAATCATAATGTACAAAAAAAGCACATTTGTCAACCTACTATGTGGTTTTGTCGTACATATTATACATTTCAGTAAATACCTGATATTAGGATGCTGGGCCATTGGGTATAGTTATAATCAGCTTTTGTAAAAACTGCCAAAACAGTTCTCCATAGTGACTGTACCAATGTACACTCTTAGGAGCAGGGAATGAGTGTTCCAATTGCTCCATATCCTCCCAACCTTTGTTACTTGCCAGGTTTGTTGCTTTTTGTTCCTTTTGTTTAATAGCCATTCTAGTGAATGTGTAATAATATTTCATTATAGTTTTAATTTGCATTATCCTGATAACTAATGACAGGAGCAATTTTTATGTACTGATTGGCTATTTGGATCTCCTCTTTTGTGAGGCGCTTGTTCATCTTTCTCCATTTTCTCATTGGACTGTGTGATTTGTAGGAGTTCTTTATTCTGGATACTAGTCATTTTTTTGATACACATATTGCAAAAATGTTCTTCCAGTCTGTGGCTTGCCTTTTCACACTCTTGATGGTGATTTAAATGAAGAGAATATCTTAATGACCTCTAATTTGTCTATTGTTTTTCTTTAAAGTTAGTGCTTTCAGTTTCCTGCTTAAGAAATATTTACCTATCCCAAGATCATGAAGATTTTTTTTCATTGTTATTATCTAGAAGCCTTAGTGTTTTACCTTTAGTGCTATAATCCATTGTGAGTTGATACCTGTGTTTGATGAATGCTAGGAGTCAAGGTTCATTTTTCCCATATGAATATTCAATTTACCCAGTTCCATTTACTAAAAAGACTGTCTTCTCACAAACACACACACAATATAATGTAGTGACACCTTTGTCATATATCTGGTTCATGTGTTCAATCTGTTTCTAGACTCAGTTTTGTTTCACTGATCTGTCTTTGCCCCAATATCACAGTTTTAATACTATAGCTTTATAGTAAGTCTCAATTGTGTATAAATATTTATATAAATATTTCAACTTTGTTCTTATTCTTCAAGGTTGTTTTTGCCATTCTTGGTCCATTGTATTTACTTTTCAATTCTAGAATCTTGTCAATTTCTATTTTAAAATAACCCTGTTGAGATTCAGATTGCAATTAAATTTATAGATATATTTGAGGAGAATAAACAGTATAATATTCAGCATTACAATTCTTGAATATACTATAACATATTTCCACATTCATTTAAGTATTCATTAACTTTGATAATGTTTTAGAGTATTCTAGTGGCATTCTTTTTCTTTCTCTTTTTAAAAATTTATTCTTATGTATTTGGCAGCTTTTGATGCTATCCTAAGTGGGTTTTTTTATATTCCATTTTCTATTTTTTTGTTGCTGTATATAAAAGAAAAATTTATTTTTTCTATTGACTATGTGTCCAGTGACCTTGATAAATTAATTCCAACAGCCTATCTGTACTTCATTTGAATTTTCTATGTATACAACCATGTCGACAGCTACTAATAACAGTTTAATTTCCTCCTTTTTATTTTTTTAATGCAGTAAATAATATAGCTTGATTTTCAAATGTTAAACAACCTTGCATTCCTACAACAATCACAACTTAATCATGACACGTTATTTTTTAACATGATGGGTTACATTTGCTAACATTTTGTTTAATATTCAAATTAATCTTCATGAGAGATTGACCTATAATTTTTCTTTTTAATAATGTTCTTTTAGATTTGGGTATAAAAATGAGTTGGGAAGTGTAAACATTTTTTTCTAATTCCTGGAAGAGGTTGGATAGAATTGGTGTTATTTCATGCTTACATGTTTGGGATAATTCACCAGTGAAGCTTTATATGTTCTTTATGGGATAGGTTTTAATTTTGAACTTAATATCTTTAATAATCATATTTTTATACAAGGTTGTATTTTATGCAAGGTTGTTTAACATTTGAAAATCAAGCTATATTATTTACTGCATAATTTTATACATATTTTATAACTACTTCTATTAGGTTTTATTTCTTCTTGTACCTATTTTGGAAAGTTATCTTTTTTAAGTAATTTCTCCATTTCATCTAAATTGTCAAATTTACCAGCATGAAATTATTCAAAATATCTTAATATCTGTATAATCGTTAGGTATAGTTTTACCATTTCTGATATTGGTAAAGCTAGTTTTAAAGAAATTTATTCTGTGATAACTGACACAAATTACATTCAACATCTTTTTTTTTTTTTTTAGACAGAGTCTCGCTTTGTTGCCCAGGCTAGAGTGAGTGCCATGGCGTCAGCCTAGCTCACAGCAACCTCAAACTCCTGGGCTCAAGCAATCCTGCTGCCTTAGCCTCCCGAGTAGCTGGGACCACAGGCATGCACCACCATGCCTGGCTAATTTTTTCTATATACATTAGTTGGCCAATTAATTTCTTTCTATTTACAGTAGAGACAGGATCTCGCCCTTGCTCATGCTGGTTTCGAACTCCTGACCTTGAGCAATCCGCCTGCCTCAGCCTCCCAGAGTGCTAGGATTACAGGTATGAGCCACCACACCTGGCCTACATTCAACATCTTTAAAAATAGTTCACTTAAAATTCAGAAATGTTTCTTGTTTGACTTTTTTCTATTGGCTCTTGACAAAAGTTAAGAACATAATGTTAAAATAGCATCATGAGTCAATCTTATGAAATTTTTAAGTATTTTTACTTTCAAATTATATAAACCTGTGGTAGATAAGGATATATTGAGTATAAGTCATTTAAAATAATGCTTTGGAAATTTTTTCAGGCATTTGGACTTTTGATAGGTGGAAGGGTTCAGCAAAAAGCCAAGGCGTGTTGGCAGTGACACAGTTAGGTGGAAATGGGGATATATTCAATTCAAATATGTTGAGTAAAAGTCACACACACACACACACACACATACACACACACATATACACACCAGCAGTTCTCTTCAAATCAGATCTTGGACAGAATGTGAGCTCAGCTATATTAAGGTTAGGGAGTTTAGTATGTTTGTTCATTGCTGAAACCCAGCACACTGTAGTCATTCATTAGCCATGTATTAAATGCATGAGGCTTGCCTGATCTGCCTCTAGAAATCCCGTGGATACTGGGGAGCAGTTTGAAATCTGTTGAACTGGATGATCTCTAGCCCTCTCACTGCTCCAATGTTTTATGACTTTGTGATGTTCAGCTAGCAGTTAGAAGGGAAGGACTAGAGTCAGAATAAAGACTGAATCTGTAGATATTTAAAAGGCACAGCCTCAAGGTGATAATTAAAATAGTGCCAAAGGAGAGAAAAGAGCAAAGATCCAGGAGAAGCACTTGAGAGAATGCCTACATGGATGAATTAGAAATTCTGGAAGAATGCTAACAGGAATGGGGACATAACCTCCAGAGAGGTGGCTGGGAAAGCAGGAAAATGTACCATTTTGGAAACCAAGAGGAGATTTTCTAGAAAAATGGGATATAAAATATTGTCAAATGCCATTAGAGGTCAAGAGACATGGGAAAGCACAACTTGATTTGGAGATTCAGAGGTACTTGACCTGCAAGTGACCAAATTCAATAAATTAGTGATAGTAGAAACCAGACTATAAGAAATTAAAAAGTTAACTTGGGTGTGAGCAACTAAAGCCCCAATGTAAATTATCTTGTCAATAAAATAGGCAACAAAGGAAAAGAAGTAAAATTATATAAACTTGAGATATTTAGCATGGCAAAGGGAATAATTTTGTATGTTTTTGAAAAGAAACGAAACAATCAGTAAAGGGATAAGAAAAGAAATAAATCAACCGACAGAAGACAGATAATAGAAATCTGGAGGAGTTTCAAGTGGAAGAGGAAAAGCAGAGAACTGTCATCACTCTGCTCTTCAATTTCCTCATAAGCTAATGAGACAATCTGTAAGAGTCCTTCTAATTTCAAGAGTTTAGAATTCTATGGGACAGGTTCTATGAAAAACAACAATCTTTGGGGACAAGAGTGAAATAAGAGCAGCAAAGTGAACTTCTTAAGCACTTTGTAAAAATCTTGAAATAAACAAATGCAGAAAAAAAATTGTACCTTTTTACTGACTTTTCACTTGTACTTTAAGAAAATGTGAGTAAGCACAGAGACTGGACAAAAGCCTGTGGTTGTACAGGATGCTAAGACCTATAAGCCAGATCTGATTCATGTCCCCTCTGAATCTGGTTCCTCATTTGTAAAGTCGGATTAATAATAATATTAATTCCCTTGTACTGAATCCCTACCATATGCCAGATACTATGCTATGTATTAACAGCTTTATTGAGATATAATTTACATACCATAAAATTCATTCTTTTAAAGAGTACACTCAGTTATACTGTGTGTTTTACACATAGTGTCATTTAATACTTACGTCACTTCCATGAAGCAGTTATTATCATCTTCAAGTGGCAAATAGGGAAACAGTCTCTATAAGATAAAGAATTTGTTCTTAACCAATTAATTCAATATCTTATCCATGATTCAGAAATAGAGAATTTTCTTCTACTTTTTCCTGCCTCCCTTTCCGAGATTCTAATGAAGATCTTAGAGGATAGAGTACATCTTTCATTTATTCAGTTCATTTCACCTAGACCCATTCTATGTGCTTAGAACTCAGCTAGGGCCCATGGATGCAAGAAGAGGACAGACCAGTGGGAAAAACAGCATTATAATAGTCCCTTATTGGTAATATTTCCCATCTTCATCCTAATCCTCTCTTCTAAATCTTTAATCTTTCTAAATCACTGTAATCTTTCTAAATCACTTAGCTGACCATTATCATTCTTTCTCCCCAAATCCTTTAATGTGTCACAGGCTTCCGTGTAACAGAATGGATCCCTCTCACCTGAAATAGCCAATAAGAAATGTATAAAATATGGTTAACAACAGTTTTCAAGGCACTAACATCCAATCAAAAATTTCCAGGCATGCAAAAGAGCAGAAAAATACCAACTATAATGAGAAAAATCAATCAATTGAAACTGATCCAGAACTTACATACATGTCAGAATTAGCAGAAAAGGACATTAAAACAGTTATTATAACTATATCCTATATGTGCAAAATACACTGGATTGGATTAATGGCAGATTAAAATTTCAAAAGAAAACATTAGTGACCTCAACCACATAACAATAGAAACTATACAAAAATTAAACAAAGAAAGATAAAGAGTAAACAATGAAAAGAGCATCAGTGAGCTGTGGGGCAACTTCAGACAGCCCAACATACAGGTAACTAAAGTCTCTGAAAGGGGATGAAGGAGACAGGAAAAAATATTTGAAGATGTAATGGCTGAAACATTTCCTAATTTGTTGAAAGCTGTAAACCCATAGACCCAAGGAACACAACAAACTCAAAATACAAGAAATGAAGAAAACAATACCAAGAGACATCATAATCAAATTGTCCAAAACCAGTGAAAAAGAGAAATTTTTAAATGCAGCTAGAGCAAGGACATGTTATATGCAAAGAAAAAAGACAAAGCTAACAACAGAATTCTCAACAAAACGTATGCAAATGAGAAGACAGTGAAGCAGCAATTTTAAATTACATAAAGAAAAAAATCATCAACCTAAAAGTCCATAACCAGCAAAATTATCTTTCAAAAGCAAAGGGAGGCCGGGCTCGGTGGCTCACGCCTGTAATCCTAGCACTCTGGGAGGCCGAGGCGGGCGGATTGCTCGAGTTCAGAAGTTCGAAACCAGCCTGAGCAAGAGCGAGACCCCGTCTCTACTATAAATAGAAAGAAATTAATTGGCCAACTAATATACATAGAAAAAATTAGCCGGGCATGGTGGCACATGCCTGTAGTCCCAGCTACTCGGGAGGCTGAGGCAGGAGGATCGCTTGAGCCCAGGAGTTTGAGGTTGCTGTGAGCTAGCCTGACGCCACGGCACTCACTCTAGTCTGGAAAAAAAAAAAAAAAAAAAAAGCAAAGGGAAAAATAAAGACTTTCTCACACAAAACCTGAAAAAAATTTCCCTAATAATCACTATAACAAGTATTAAACGAAGTTCTTCAGGCAGAAGAAAAATTACACCAGATTGAAATATGAATCTACACAAAGAAATAGTGTCAGAAATGCTATAAGGGAAAATATCTTTAAAAAAATTTTTTTATTACTCAACTCTCTTTAAAAGATAATTGAGAGGAGAGAATTTCTGGGAAAATGGTAGGATAGGATGCAACAGGAATCTCTCTTCCTGACTAGACAATAATTGCACTGACAAAATCTGTCTGATGTAATTATTTTGAAACTCTGGGTCTACTGAAGACTTGCAACTCCCAGGGGAAGGCTTAGATTTAAAGTGAATTTAATTTCAGCAAAATTTAGCTCTTAGCACAGTAGCAGCTACCCATCTGCAGACAGCTGTGCCTCTATTCCAAAAGCAACTTGCATATAGCTTACAGGAGCCAGGGTGGGCAAAAAGGACCCTATTCTCCATATATCTAGAATCTGTTCTCTGATTGCTGGTTGCTATTTCTGATCACAGAAATCCAGACAAAGAGGAAGGGAGCCATTGTTGTTTTACCTGCCTGTTATGTTGAAAGCCCCTCGCCTTTTGGCTGAAGTGACTTCTAGGGGATTTAAAAGGCTGGCATTGGTTGGATGTATGGTGATTCATGTCTGTAATCCCACACTTCAGGAGGCTGAGATGGGAGGACTGCTTGAGGCCAGGAGTTCAACTCCAGCCTGGGCAACATAGTGAGACTTCATCTGTACAAAAATGTTAAAAAAAAAAATTAGCCAGGTGTGGTGGCTCACACCTATAGTGCCGGCTACTTGGGAGGCTGAGGCAGGAGGACCTCTTGAGCCCAAGAGTATGAGGATGTGGTGAGCTGTGATTGTGCCACTGCACTCCATACTCAAGTCTGAGCAAGACTCTGTCTCTGAAAAAAAGAAATGGAAGGAAAAAAAGGCTGGCACCCTTTACCCATCTCCTTCATTGTTCTCTTTGTCCCCTTTTGGAAATCATACATTGCAAAGACATTTAAAAACAACTGCACATACAGGGAAAACTAGAAAAAGGAATATTTAGAGAGCTCTGAAAAATTAAAAATATGATAGAAGTGAAAAACAGAATATTTAGAAAATCATGTTAAGGAAATCTCTCAGAAAATACTGTGAAAATACAGAGATATAAAAAAAGGAAAAATAGGTTGGAAAATTAAAGGACAAACCAGAAGATCCAACACACAGATAACAGGAGTTCCAGAGAGAACAGAGAAATTAAAGAAAGTACAATAAAATAATTCAAGAAAAATTCTCTCAAATGAGGGATATAGTTTCTAGACTGAAATGATTTACTGAGTGCCCAGCAAAATGTATGAAAAATCTACTCTTATCAAGGTGTATCATCATGAAATTTCAGAACAATGAGGACAAAGAGATGATCCTCCACATTCCTAGAAAGAAAAAAACAGGTCCTATCCAAGAGATCAGGAATAGAATGACAGCAAAATTCTCCATGGCAACACTGGATGCCAGGATACAATGATGCAATGACTTAAAAAATCTGAGGAAAATCATTTTGGATTTAGCTCTTTACCTAGACAAACCTCCACTTTAGGAGAGATAAAAAGAAGACATTTTATTTTATAAAGACATTTTCAGATCTGTGAAAACTTGGACATTTTACCTCCCACACACCATTTCTCAAAAAGCTACTGAACATATCCTCCACCAAATAAGTGACTAAATGAAAAAAGAGAAAAAGATGAGATCCACAAAATAAAGGATCCAATGCAGAGAGAGGCAGGATGGTAAAGGGTCATCTTTGGACAATAGCTATGCAACGACAGGCCTAGAGAGTAGCCAGTACAGACTGGGGCAGATCAGAAGTCCTTGTGAGAGGGGCTTTTTCCAAAAGATGAAATTGATAGAATTCCTCATGTGTTTGCACATATTAAGAGATTTACACCAGGAAGAAGAGTTTGGAAATTAAAGATAAGGATATTAACAACCAAGCAAATTAAAAAACAAGACAATTATTAACTTCAGGCAACTAAAAGGTTGTACAGAAAGGGAAAATGACCATAGGATATAACTGTATAGCTCAGCCGCGATACACCTTTACATAGTCATAATAATGTAAACATTAAATATTGCTTTCTCAGGTCTTAGTCTGAAATGTCGGATCTTGGCGTGTTCTTGGTTGAAGAATGACCAGACATGCCCAAATTATGCAACTATGAAAATGAGGTTTATTGAGGAAAGAAAAATAGGATTATAGGGCAAAAGAAAGATACAAGTTTACAGAGTGTAATACATGCAACTGGGCCCAGTGTCACAGCAAAGGGAGAGTCAAAGGAAGGTCAAAGAGAGAGGTCGGCTATGGTCTGCATCTTATTATTATTATTATTTGAGACAGAGTCTCACTCTGTTGCCTAGGCTAGAGCGCCATGGCGTCAGCCTAGCTCACAGCAACCTCAAACTCCTGGACTCAAGAAATCCTCCTGCCTCAGCCTCCCAAGTAGCTGAGACTATAGGCATGCACCACCATGCTCAGCTAATTTGTTCTATATATTTTTAGTTATCCAGATAATTATTTTCTATTTTTTTAGTAGAGATGGGAGTCTCGCTCTTGCTCAGGCTGGTCTCAAACTCCTGACCTCAAACAATCCTACCAGCTCAGCCTCCCAGAGTGCTAGAATTACTGCATCTTATTTTATAGTGCCCAGATAGGGACCTCCCTCATGGTCCAGAGGTCACCATGGAACCAGTTTGATTGGACAGTGGGAGTCACATAAACTGAGTCTTAACTACACATGTCGGTTATTCTAGGTCAATTTTGGACTCTATGGTACCTATGCTGCTTGGCCAGTGGGCTAGAAAGTCCTCTGCATCCTTTTGCAGCTGGCACACTAAGTTCTTTTGTTGTTGTTGTTTTTGTTTTGTTTTTTATTTCTTGATTTTTGAACCCTACCATTATGACACACTAAGTTCTGATTGGCAGATTCATAGCGTATTCCCTCCTCCCCCCAGGTATACAGAATTAGGATTGGGCAGGACCAAGATGGGGCAACAGCACCCACTTTCCTCCCTGGGAGACCCGGAATCTCCCGCTATCTACCTAACAGTTCTAGCCAAAATTTCAATTTATCTGTAATGGTAGCATGAGGGAGCAGTAAGTATATATGATGTAAGGAGCAAGCAAGAGGGATCAATCACATCTTCCAGAGTAGGAAATCGACATGACACCTAAACTGAAGGGAAAAAAAAACCATAAAATAATATAAATGAAATAGTTGTCAACACTAAATTATCAGCCACAAGAACAGTGGTTTGCCTCTGGGGTGCAGTGTAGGCTGATGGGGTCTTCTGTGTTTGGTTACAAGCTTTGCAGAACTGTTTAACTCTATAAAAGTATACACATTTAACTTTCATAAGATTAACACCACAACATAATTCACTTTTTCAAATGACTGCAAAAACAAAAACAAAACAAAAGCAACCTCATTGTCCAACTAAAACTCTGGATTATCCTACTTGCTCTTCAAATCAAACTTTTCTGAATCTGATTTCCTCATCTGTAAAATTATCCTATGGATTGAAATAAATTGTGAATCCAAAAGTGATTGGAAACTACAGCCACTGCTTAGCAATAATAATAACTTACGATCCAAAAGTTGGGAATCCTCAGTATTTACTCACTCACATTGTGTGTGTGTGGCAGGGGGCGGGACTTTGCAGCCGTAAGGCCTGAAACCAGCGCCCCTGCCTTGAACTCGCCTTCTGTTGCGGGGTGGGGACGATTCTTCGGGCCGTGGGGCCAGATTTCTTTCAGAGTTCACATTCCGACAGTGCCACTTCCTAGCGGTGTGGCCTCAGGCAATCCCCTTAGCTCCTCTGAATCTCGGTTTCTCTATCTGGGAACAGCAAAGACTCTTTAGCGGAGCTGGAGGGAGGGAAAAAAAGGGAAAACTTAACCGGAAGTCCAATTGCAGCCGCTTAACTCCTTGGGTGCGCAGGACACCTGGGGCCACAAGGCCGCCCGCAGAGGGCGGCTGCGGGCGGGGAGGCTCCGCGGTCACTATGGCAACCCGAGACGCCTCGCGGTACCCGGATGCCCGCGGCGGAGCTCAGCAGGCCAGCTGCTCGGAGCCGGGCAGGAGACCCCGCGGCATGAGGGGACAGGAGGCGGTGATGGTGACCGCGGCGGTGACGCCCGAGGCGGGCCGCGACGGGGAGCAGCCTCGGCAGCCGCCGGCGGGGCTGGGGAGCAGGGCGCGCGGGGAGCCCGGCCGCGGTGGCCCCCAGGAGCCCGGCAAACAGTGTGAGTTCAGCCCCCGCCGCGGACTCTGCGGGGAGCCGGTAGGCGTGGACCGGGAGTGAGAGGGGCGCTGTGGCAAACGGGAGCGGGACAGGCTGGGAGCGCGAGAGCTGGCGGGGAGAAGGGTGGAGCTGCTATTTCGGCAGAGGCGGAGGTGATGGCACTGTGGCAGAAAGCACCTGGTCCATTTCTCCAGGTGCTCCTTCATGACAGGCTTCCTGAGCCCAGGGTCCAAGCATCACCTCCAACTTAACAGGTAGTGGCATTATACTGGGAGGGATTGACACACACACGTATTTGTATGTATGACAAGGGCTGTCCGGAAAGCATGCAGCCATGTAACCGTTCTCATTATATATATATATATATATATTTATTTATTTTAGCGTGTTATGGGGGTACATGTGTTAAGGTTACATATATTGCCCATGTCCCCTTCCCCCCTCGAGTAAGAGCTCCAAGCCGTTCTCATTGTTTTAACAATGGCTGGATGCTTTCCAGACAGCCTTCGTATATACACACGCATTTATATAGGTATACATGTGTGCATGTATATGTGCATATATGTATGTAGACACACATGGAAACATGCAGATCATTTTGTCAATTCCTTCATTTTATACTTCAGAAAACTGAAGTCTAGACCAGAGGAACAGAAGTGACTTGCTACTGTCTCTCAGTCAGTGCTGGAGAAATACTTTCAGATCCCATCTCTTGGACTCTCAGTCCCTAAATTATTACGTGATCCCTTCAGAATCTCACAGTTATGGGCCACATTTTGACACACTGTTGTTTCCTCCCTATGTTGCCAGTCACACCAACAATATTCAAATAAGTAAAGACAGTTCTGGTCCACAGTCACAGCTGACCTGGTCGTTACTTGCTCATCAGCATTGTTTCATGAATTTACAGGTATTTCACAGCCTCTTGTGCCCCACGGGTCTTCAGTAGGTGCTAAGGAATGATGGTGAAAATAATAGGCCAAAGAGGAATGGAGCAATTTCCAGCCCTCCTGCAGCACCTCCTTGATTGCCTCTCTGGAGAGCAGCCTGGGGTTCCTTTGGCTTCCTCTGCCTGGCTGGCGGGCCCCAGGAGGGAGGGTCAGGCTGAAGTGCCTCAGTGCTTGTGCTTCAGTGGACCACACACCCTCCTCCCCAGAGACCTCATCAAGGAGTCAGTCTCAGAACCACTGCTTCCCTGGTGAAAGGGCCCCCATTTGACTAGGATACCTCATTCCTTGTGTTATTATTATCAACAGCATGCAGAGGCCTTACTTAGAGCAACTAAATTCAGTATGTTTAGGCAATGGAGATTTCTTACTCCTACTTAAAATTCTACTGGGGAACTGTCCCATTAAAGATGCTAGTATCTAAAGGTTCTTTAGTCCTGTTGCTCCAGGATTAAAAGGTAGAATTCATCACTCACACATCAATTCGACATATATCGAGTGCTTCCTACATGCCAGGCATTTGGCAAGTTGCAGAGAAAGGTGTAATGAATTAAGGCAGATGTCCAAACTTTCATGCGCTCACAAAGTCTAGTGAGGGTATGCAAAGAGTTTCTGCCTCAGCATCCCCAAGAATCTCCTTATAGGGCCTCAGCCTAAGTAGAGACAGGCTGTTCACACCCACACAAAGTACTCATTCAATTTTCAGATGTCTCTGATTATTGGAAAGATCTTCGGTCTTTCTATAGCTTCTACTCTGTAATCACAGAACTGCTCTTAAAAAAAACATAAAGTGTGGTCCTTTCCCATGTAAACGTCCTTGAATTATATAAAGGCAGCTATTTGAGCACCAACCAAACCTTCCATAGAATTAATATCACCTTTGAAATCATTTGTACTCTCCCCGTGCTGGCTGGCCTCCCAACATGCTCCAGTCATTTACATCACTGTACTCTAGGTATGCTCCGATTAGCATGGTATGGTGGAACTTTAACTACGGATTATAGTAAACTGCAAACTACTTTCAGTAACCCTTGAGGCTTGGGAGAGTCAGGTTAGTATGGCTTTTCATTCTTATGACTTTAGTTTTATGACATCAGGAAGCTTTCTCAACTACAAAATAGAAATAATTATACTTGCCCATAGGTCACTGTGGACCAATAATAATAAAGAGAAATAATAATATGTGTAAGATGTCTAGGGCATGGTAGCACTCAGTATATTGTAGCAATTGTTACTAACTCTCAACAAAAGAAAACCTGAAATAATATTGTTCCAAAAGAAAGTCTGGAATAATGCCATTCTTAGCAGTCTTTCTTAGTGATCGCTGCTCATCATCAAGCCATCTGTTGACCAATCCACTCAAAGTGTTGGTGAAGGTCAACATCAAGCTGCTATGTTATAGTTCGTAGAATTTCCTCTCTTCCTTCTTTCTCTCTCACTCTCCTTCCCTCCCTCCCTCCCTTCCTTTCTATATTTGCCCATGGTAGCTCCCTACTACTCTCCCAATTTTCACAGTCCTCCAACTACTTTTAGTGGTTTCCTCTGTCAATTTTCTTAGCAACAGGGCTGAAATTTGACAGGAGGTCTGAACTTACAGCAAGTGATCTGTTCCTCTCTGCTGTGCTGTTATAGGGTTTGCTTCCTTTTTAACCAAGTTTGTTAAGCCCTTTTTTACTTGAAGATCATGATTTGACAGAAAAAGATTAAATCAAAGTTAGGTTTGAGTAATGTTTATCTCATCTTTTATCCATGACTCCCAACTTTTGGCAAACAAGAATCAGACTCTAAAGTATCTAATTCTACCTCATCCTTATCTGAGGGTGTGTTTGGGTCTTCGTGACCAGAAATGACCCAGGATCACTGCCAGAAGCAGCAGGTCTCTTGCCCCTTGGGCCAGTCTGCATCCTTGTCAAATTGACTCACTTGTGTTCTTTATTGGTTAGTCTGTAAAAGATGAGACACCTGCCATATCTTTGTTAGTCTAAAAAAAAACCTTAAGTAACTAAAGTATTTGGTTTACATTTTTCAAGTTTCCTTGAATTGAACTTTTGGTACTAAGACAAGAACTACTTACTCTCTGACATTCATAAGCTTGCACTGGCAGATGTGCACATAGAATAGTCTTTACTTTTACCTAAACACACATTTGTTGAGCATCTATTATTATGCCAAGCTCTATTCTTGGACTCTAATGAACTGAAAACACAATATCCCTGCCCTTATAGTGTTTATGGTCTGGTAAAGAAGACATTAAACTAATAGCTACACAAATAATTGTCTATAAATGAAAGGAAGCTGTATTCAAATTGCAATACATGAAACAGAAAAAAAAAAAAAAGGAGGGTACTATGAGAAAAAGACATTTCCAGATTGTGGAGACAGGCCAAGTTTCCCTAAAAAACTGACATTTAAGCCAATACCTAAAATTTGAGTAGAAGTTTTACATGCAAAAACTTAGGAGGAAGGCAGTCCAGGCAGCGAAAATAGCATGTACAACCATGGGAATGAACAGAAGAGCCACGTGTCTGGAGCTCAGTGAGCAAGAGGGAGAGGCTGGCTGGAGAGACTGGGGAGACAGGCAGGGCCAGACAACACAGCTCTTTGTTTCTCCAGAGTGCTGACCTCTGGGGTGAGCAGAAGAAATGTAGCTAAGCTGTTGAGAACAAATCATTCAGTCCTTGCTTGTAGCAGTAATGTCCTCAAGGGCCAAAATTAGAGGCCAATGGTTCACTGCTACAATTCAGGTTCAATCTCCCAAAATGATGATTTTAAAATGCCGAGGAAAAATAACAGAAAAAAAAATGCTGAAGTTTTTTTTTTTTTCTGTTCTGTATCTGAATTGCAAGCCAAGCCCATGCACACATCTGTCTTATTCATTGCTCTGCCCTCAATCCCCGGTCAAATGCCTGATACACAGAAAGTCTTCAATAAGAACTTATCAGATAAGTGAGTGAAAGTTTTTTTGAAGCAAATGACAAAAATCCATGTATTTCTTCATAATATACAAAAGAGGTACCTGAAACTTACTCCACAGGTTCAGAAACTACATGAAAGTGTGAAGTCCCAAAAGAACCAAAAGTTCTAATAAAAGTTCTAATGGTAGGCTCTAATCTGCAAGAGAGAACCTGCAGGACAAATTGTCCGATATTTGTATGGAATAATATGTCTTATTTTTTAAAAAGAGTTATCCAAGTAGGTATTATAGAAAGTTGGGCAGGATTTATGATAAGTAACCAATTTTGTTAATGCCTTTTTAGGGAAGCAATTTTTATATTGTGAGCCACATAAGAGAATTAAGGAAGTACTGGAAGAAGAACTTTATATTAAGAGAGATGAATGCCACATTAAAAATCCACCTGCAGGTAATTTCAGTGACAAATGAAGTATATTTGTGAAATGAAAATGAAATTGCCTATTTGATTACAGGGTGATTATTTTATTTATTACAAAATTATAACTTTTGTACAATTTGTAAAATTTGTAAAAGAAAAATGAGTTCATGGACAATTCATGAGCTGTTCTATAA